GGAAGCCTGTGGTGAGGCTCAGGGACATACATTCCCCCCCCCCTTTTTTTTAAGATTTTTAAAAATTGATTTTGAGTCAGAGAAGAAGGGAGAGGGAGAGAGAAACATCAATGATGAGAGAGAATCATTGATCAGCTGCCTCCTGCACACCCACTACAGGGGATTGAGCCTGCAACCCAGTCATGTGCCCTTGACTGGAATCGAACCCGGGACCCTTCAGTCCACAGGCCAACACTCTATCCACTGAGCCAAACCAGCTAGGGCTTACCTTTATACTTGACATCTTGCTGGGCGATATGGGACAGCCCATCAGGACTAAAAGTAGAAGTTGGCTTCTCTCTTCCATTGGTTACTGTTTTTATCCTGTACACTAGACATGTATATGAAAAACAATTCATAAAAACAGAAGTAGTCCTAGCTAGTTTGGCTCAATGGATAAAGCAGACCCAACAGTCCTGGGTTCAATTCCGGTCAAGGGCACATACCTCAGTTGCAGGCTCTCCCCGGCCTGGGCCCTGGTTGGGGCACATGCAGGAGGCAACAAATCGATGTGCAACTCTCACATCGATGTTTCTCTCTGTCTTTCCCTCTCTTCCATTCTCTCCAAAAATCAATGGAAAACTATTCTCGGGTGAAGATTAAAACAACAACAAACAACAAAAAACAAAACAGAAGTAGAATGACACTGTTTGTTTTTTTAAATAAATTTTATTTATTTATTTATTAAATATATTTTTATTGATTTCAGAGCAGAAGGAAGAGGGAGAGAGAGATAGAAACATCAATGATGAGAGAGAATCAATGGTTGGCTGCCTCCTGCACACCCCCCAAAGGGGATTGAGCCCACAACCCAGGTACATGCCCTTGACCAGAATTGAACCTGAGACCCTTCAGTCCGCAGGCCGACGCTCTGTCCACCAAGCCAAACCTGCTAGGGCGAATGACACTATGTTCATCATACTGCAGAAGGATATTGGAGTTTAGATCTGGACATCACGTGACTTCAGGGGCTGCTCAGGGCCACGTCCCTGGCTGCTGTAAGCATCGCTGTTTCTCCACAGGTACTTCCACCCGGGCAGCGAGCCCTTGGAGCTGGACTCCCGATTCTGGGTGATCCGGGACAGCATTGTGCAGTGCGAGCTCCTTGTGCTGCGGGTACTGCGCTTCCAAGTCTCCTTTCAGCACCCACACAAGGTACGGACCTCTTCGTTCTTCATACCGGAAGTGCACCCATCGAATCCTTGAGTGCACATGGGGGACATTAGAAGGGCAGGGTCACAGCTGGGCACCGGGGCTCCCGATGGCATGCAGTGACTGGCTCAGGCAGCCTCTCCTGTCCCACTTGTGGAGTTTTCTGATGTTCTGCCTTTCTGCCTGCTCAGCTGTGGCCACGAGCCGGGATCCGGGCTGTCCTCTGAAGCCCTTGACGATCCCGTGACCCACATATACTGTGCGCTCAGCGAGCCACGTGAAACAGGGCTGGTTTGTGATCTGCTAGAGTTCCTGTCCCCAAGAGCTGCTGCTCTGCCTCGGAGTTTGCATCCAGTTCCGTTTTTTAAAACATTGATTTTTAGAGAGAGGAAGGAAGAGAGGGACAGAGAGAGGGAGAGAAACATTGATGTAAGAGTGTCACATCGATTGGTTGCCTCCCACATGCACCCCAACTGCCAAGGGATCAAACCTGCAACCGAGGTACCTGCAGTCCACAGGCCAACGCTCTATCCACTGAGCCAAACTGGTGCCCTTGACTGGGAATGAAACCCAGGATCCTTCAGTGTGAGGGCCAACGCTCTAACCACTGTACTATCGGCACACTTTTGACTACTAGAACAAATAAATCCCAACAGAAGAACGGTTTCAAACAGCAGCAAAAGGATCACATTAAACCCTTAAAGCACTTGGACATTGGGCGTGTGTGTGGGGGTGATTGTGGGGCTCTGTGCCAGGATTTTGTTTCTTTGTAATTGAATTTTTATCGAGGTAAGTGTAGATATATAAGCAGTTGGAAATAACGCAGAGACACCCCATTTAAGATAGACACTTTGCCCAGTCTCGCTGAATGGAAACATTTTGTAAAATGAATACAATGTAGCAGCCGGAGTGTGGGCATTGCTACAGTGCCCTGGTTCCTGGTGTTACCTGGTTACTTGTACTGCGCTGGTGTCATACAATATAATTTATGCTCGTGTGTCATGTATTCACCACCCCAGTTAGATACAGCAGAGAGATAAATAACTCTTATCACCTCAAGGATCCCTCGTGTTGCCCTTTTTTATAATCTCACCCCTCCCTTCCACACCACCAACCTACTCCTGGAAACCCCTGGCGGCAATTTTGAAAGTTGTGTTTTCCTGGCGCCGGCTCGATGCAGGGGCAAGGCAGGAGGGCCCCTGGCTCTGCCAGGCAGTCAGAGGGCAGAGTCCTGGGCAGAATAGCACCCGCTGGGAGGGGGCCCAGTGTCACCTGCGAGCGAGCTGTGCCTTTCCCTTCCATAGGGGTCAGGGAAGTGGTGGGTGAGGCCCCTCTTCCAGGTGTGCTGGAGCCCCACGCATGTGGGGGGCAAGGCTTACTAGTGTGTTCAATTGAGCAGGAGGTTCAGGCAAAGCAGCCGTCTCCCCAGGGCGGGAGCTGACATAACTGAGCTAGAAGTTCATTGACGAAGAGCTCATAGCCATGGGTGCTGTTGCAAAATTCAGTCACCTGTCTCTAGTTCCCCCGAAAGCAGGGTCCTGTCTCGTCTGGGCACACAGGCGCCATACTCTGTTCTGTAGATGAGGGTGCTGTCTCCGGGGCTTATGTTTGAGGGGGGTATGGGGGGGCAGTGATGCTGACGGTGGCCAGAGCAGGGCCATGCGATGGAGAGGGATTTCGCGGGGGTGGCCATTAAGAGTGGTCCAGGCAGGTTTTGGGAGCGGGGCCTGGGGGACAGTGGTGGGTGGGCACGTGGGGACTGGGACAGGAGTGGAGATTTCAGGCTGAGGGAGCAGCGGGTGTCAGGGCCCTGAGGTGGAGGCCCCTGGCGGTCAAACACAGCAGGAAGGTGGGGTGCGGGCGATGAGGCCGAGAGGGAGGCCGGGCTCGGATGCCAGCGGAAGGCACTGGGGCTTTATTCTAAGTGACAGAGCACCACTGGAAGGTTTGATCAGGAGGTGACTCGGGCCCATCTGTATTTTATATGCATCGAGACAGCTTCCGGGAGAGTGGCTGGCGGGCAGAGGAAGCGCAATGCCCCACAGTGAGGAGGCGGGTGACGGGGCCAGAGCCCTGCGAGCCAAGAGGCTGACTGGCGTGTCTTTGCAGTACCTGCTCCACTACCTGATTTCTCTCAAGAACTGGCTGAATCGTTACAGCTGGCAACGGACCCCCATCTCCGTCACTGCCTGGGCCCTGCTGCGGGACAGCTACCACGGGGGGCTGTGCCTCCGGTTCCAGGCTCAGCACATAGCGGTGGCGGTGCTCCACCTGGCCCTGCAGGTCTATGGGGTCGAGGTGCCCGCCGAGGCCGAGGCCGAGAAGCCATGGTGGCAGGTGAGGTGACTGCTCAGTGCACGGGCATGTGTCCCCCTTTCCTTTGCCTAAGGACTTTAGAAGTCCCTGTCTCTTTGTAGCGATGATCCAGCAGAGAGATGTGGGCCACTTGGGAACACTGAAGCTTGCAGATGCCCTGTCATTTCTAAGTCAAAGGCAGGGATGCTCCCCTTGGCACTGTGGGCATCTGGGGCTGGACCATTCTCTGTGCTGAGGCATCCTGGGCACTAGGATATTGAGCAGCATCGCTGGCCTCTGCCCACTCAGAGCCAGGGGCATCTCCCCACTAGTCATAGCAACCAAAGATGCCTCTAGACATTGCTAAGTGTCCCGGGCTAGGGGTCCCCCCAGTTGAGAATTACTGAGCTCAGTCAAGCACTTTTAGTGAATGGAGTGGAAGCTTGTGTCATAGGTCAGAGGTTAATAAATTTGGCTTCGCATCAGAAGTATGGGGGGTGCTCTAAAACAGCGGTCGCCTACCGGTGGTCCGGGGACCACTGGTGGTCCGCGAGGTCTGAAAGGCTGGCGACCGCTGCTCTAAAAAGATGGATGGATGATGGATAGGTAGATAGATGCTGGAGAAAGATAGCTAGCTAGAAGATGGATAGATGGATATATTAGATGGATGAATGATAGGTAGATAGATAGGTGATAGCTTTAGTGGTAGATAGGAAGAGACCTAGCTAGATGGATGGATGGGTGAATAGATTGGCTAGATGATAGACAGGTAGAGAGAGAGGAGAGGATGGTGGGTAGGTTCCCCTGCCTCCCCTAGACCTGCAGAATCCAAAGTGACATTTGTAGAGAGCAAGGTGACATCTGTCCATCAGAAGGGCTGTCCTCAAAGACTTCCGCCCTCTGTCAAGTTTCCCCCGGTGGTCCCCTTATTTTAGAATGGGATTTTCAGACCATTTTCTGTGTTTTTTTCTTTTCCATACTTGAAGCCTGATGCTCCTCTCTTCATAACACCTCATTGTCTAGCCTCGGTCTAAAACAAGCATGTCAAACTCAAAGGCTAACACGGGCCAAATAAACAAGGTTGAAGTTTACGTGGCCGCAAAAACACAAAAGCTTCAATTTTCATAGAAACGTGGGTTTATTTTGGTAGAGACACGCTGAATACAAAGGGCTGAAATCAATGAGTCATCGTTCACATAAAGTAATAGAACATTTTAATCAAAATATAAATAGAGTTATAGTTCATTATTAATAATCTATCATAATAAAAGCATAATATACTAATTAGACCGACATCCTTCCAGACAAAGCTGGGGCTTCGAGGGCCGAGCCCCTTGCACGAATTTCGTGCATCGGGCCTCTAGTTATGTATAACAGGATATTGTAAAAGTGAAGTCATGAAATTTTTATTAAAACGTTTCTTATATACCGTTATATTGGCTGGGCTGCAAAAATATTCGTTGTGGGCTGCATGTGGCAGCTGCGAGTTTGACATGCTTGGTCTAGAATGAGGTTCTATGTACGCAGAATTTGAGGTAACTTGAAGTGTCCCCTTTTGGTGTACCCCACTCCTGCACAAACCCACAGTGGCCAGAAGTCTTCTAAATGTGTCATTGAGTATCAATTTCCCATAAGGGAGTGAGCCCCATGGGTGCCATCCTGGGCCAGCTCCTCACTACCTCTCCCTACTCCCTCCCCCGCCCCCGCTCCCCTCTTGCAGCTCTTGGCTTATATGGAGGCCAGGGGTCTTGTCTGCTTTATCAACTGCCTCGCGTCCAGTGCCTGGACCTGGCACATAGTAGGTGATCACATGGCTAAATAAATGCATCCATAACCCCATCTGGGGCCAGATGTACCCGCATAGCATGGCGATGGAAGGGCATCTGTATGCACAGAAAGTATTGCTCCACGCATTGGCTTCGCGGGGCTCCCAGATCCCGTGCCTGCAGTGTCCCTGCTCTGTTGCAATCACGTGGTGGCAGAGACCTGTCAGTCCCTGGCCCCGTTTTCTCGGGGCACCTGGTGGGCACAGAGGCCCCAGTCCCTCAGCTGCTTGGATCTGCAGTGTCGTCACTGGTTTCCACTGTCCCTGCGTCTCTCCTCTGTCTGCCTTCCTGCTCCTTCCTCTTCACTTGCTCCTGGCCGTCCCTGGGCGCCACTATACCTACCGCCTCTGCTTCAGACTCGCTTCACGCTCTAGGCTCTTGCGAGAGAAAGGCGCTGGGAAGCGGCTCCACTAGGACCCTGTGTTCTGGGCACCACAGACTTAACCAGTACTTGTTACAACTGGGAAGAAGTGGCTTCTTCGGGGTGGGGCGCTCAGGTTCACCCAACTCCTCACCTTTTCTGGATGATTCTGGGCCCGGTGCACTGTGTGCGTCCTGGGCACCCTGTGGACTCGGCGAGCTGTGAGCGCCAGCTCCCCATGGCGCCTGTCTGCCCGTCCTGACACCCATGTCTGATCTGTAAACACTTTCTCTGCTCGCATGCTCTCCGCCGCCACTGTTTGCAGCAACTGCCTCTCTGTTGTCACTTGTCTGCTGGGGGCTGGGGCTCCGCCGTGCAGTCAGGAGACTTAGCCAAGCTTGACCTGCTTGCCCACCAGAAGCCTGTGCTCGACTGTGCCTGTGGCCGCCGGCCTCTGCGCTAGGCCGGGTCCGGCCTCTGGGTCCGTGAGGCACCGCCTCCAAGTCAGTGGTGTGTTGGAGTACGTGTCAGTTTCTGCCCTCTTTAAGGCTGCATACTAGGCCATGGTCTGGGTGGACCACGGTGTGTTTGTCTAGCCCTCCATGGAGGGGCGCTTGGGTGGCTTCCAGCTTTTGGCCGTGGACTACTTTAGTTTTTTTATTTTATTTTATTTTTTGCCGCAAAAAGTGTTATTTATTCAAAGGGAAAAGAAAAGAAAAGAAAAAGAAAAAAAATGACAAGATGTCCATCCCTGGGCTCCCTTCCCTCCCCTCTCCTGCTCCTCCTCAGTCCGCCAAGGACTGAGAACACTGGCTGGGATGAGGTAGCAGGCCAGCCCCTCTCCGATGAGGTCAGCAACATTGGGGGGCATCTCCTCGATGGAGGTGTAGAACGAGCAAGTCAAACTCAAAGGCTAACACGGGCCAAATAAACAAGGTTTAAGCTTACGTGGCCGCAAAACAGCAAAAGCTTCAATTTTCATAGAAACGTAGGTTTATGTCAATAAGAGACACGCTGAATACAAAGGGCTGAAATCAATGTCATCGTTAATGTAAAATGATAGAACATTTTAATAAAAAGTAATATTTTTTCTTGAACATTGAGAAATGGTGCGCCTGCGCGTAAGGCACGTAAGGGAAATGAATGCAACACGATTATAGTACTCAGTCATTAGCGAACGTTGTAGTTCATTATTAGTAATTATATATAACAGGATATTGTAAAAATTAAGTTACGAAATTTTTATTAAAACGTTTCTTACACACCTTTACATTGGCTGGGCCGCACAAATATTCATTGTGGGCCGTGTGCGGCCTGGGGGCCGTGAGTTTGGCATGCTTGTTGTAGGAAGTCTCAATGTCTCAAAGGGTCCTCTTGTCTTTGGCCCGGGACTACTTTAAAATATATTTTTATTGATTTCAAAGAGGAAGGGAGAGGGGGAGAGAGAGATAGAGATAGAAACATCAATGATAAGAAAGAATCATTGATGGGCTGCCTCCTGCACATCCCACACTGGGAATAGAGCTTGAAACCCGGGCATGTGCCCTGACGGGGAATCAGCCGTGACCTCCTGGTTCATAGGTCGATGCTCAACCACTGAGCCACACTGGCCGGGCATGGACTACTTTTTAAAGGCCACTTCTTGGCTTGAGGTCTCTGGGAGCACACAGGTAGTGGACCCTGCTAAGCAAAACTAAAACAAGTCTACATAGGGCGGGTGCAGGAGAGACCAGGCGCAGCTTCCAGGCCCCGGCACTGACGTGCCAACATGCGCGGGCGCTGCCACCAGGAGAGCATCCCTGGCCGCGGTGGGCAGGGACTTTCCTGGGAGTGGGTCCTGAGGCCTGGGGCGCCCACGTGGCTGGCCTCGGTCTGTCTCCAGCCCCTGGAGGCCAAGGTCGTATGTTGGGCCCCACCCCCTCAGAAAGCACTGTCAGGATAAACTCCCTGCAGAGCGCTCGCCCAGGCAAACCAAGGTCTCCTCCTCAGGCAGCGCTGCCACGTACCTAGAGGTCAGGTACCTAGAGGTCCCTCCCAGGAGCTGAGCGCCAGAACTTCTTTGGAAACATGCAGGGTCAGCCCTGAGCTGCACCCCACCCTTGATTTGGCCCCCTGGGGACTCGTCTTACAATTTTGTCACCTCTCCGGCACAGTCAAGGGGATGCCTGGTCCACCCTATGGAGAAGGGGCCAGCCTAGGTTGGAGTGGGGTCCAGGTGACCCTGCCTGCTTATTTCTGGAAATGGACTCCCACCCCTTTCTCTCTTAAGATCCCCAGAGACCGACCTAAGAGGGCCCGGGCAGGGATGGTGGGGAGTCAGGAGCCCGTGCTCTGGGCCCAGCTCTGTGACCAACTGCCTATGTAACCTGGGACAAGCCCCCTCTCCTGTCTGAGCCAAGTGATCACCCAGGCCTTTTCCATCTGGAATGTTCTCTGCTTTGTGATCAACCTGGGTAGGTGGGGACTGAACTGGCTTTGCAGAGAGCCGCCGTCACCTCCAATAGCAAGTCCTCGTGCCGTCCCCCCATGCAATGCAAGTCGACACTTAGCGGCAGGAGCCTCGGTTAACACAGAGGGAGTCTAATCGGAACCTGTTTTCCTTCTCCTTTCTAGGTGTTTAGTGACGACCTTACCAAGCCAATCATTGATAACATTGTGTCTGATCTCATTCAGATTTATACCATGGACACAGAGATCCCCTAAGGCCCTGGTCCAGGCCTGTCCAAAGAGAAGCCTGGGACGCTCGGCTGCCAGGGGACGGTGCCACCACATCGCCGTGACCGCCGGTCCCCAGAGGACTGGCTGGGAGGACTGGTTCTGTGCTGCTGGATGGTGACGGGCGCTGCACCTCCCGCGGGCAGGAGCGTGCTGCGGGCGGCTCTGAGGCCTCCGGGTCTGCTTTTGTCCTTTGAAAGGACGCAGACTACAGCCGAGGTTTGGGATCAGTGGAAGGAAAATCAAAGAACGGATGGGACTGTGCCCCAGGGGATTTTTTTAAAGGCCAGATTTATAGAAAGTATGAATGAATTAACATAGAGGAAATTTTATTTTGTTTAATAAAAGATATTACAAAGCCACAGAGTTTCTTTGCTTTGGAGCCGGTGCTGCCGAGGGCGTTTAGGGGCACTGTCCTGGCTTGGTTTCCCCTCAAGTGCTCTGCTGTCCACGTGGGATTGTCCCCGGCGCTCCTGAGATGGTCCTGGGGCAGGATCTGCATCGCCTCCTGAGGGCATGATGGCACAGCGCATGCCCATGTCATGCTGATGTCTTAAAGGAGCCTACGTGTCATCACTCCTCCTCCACTGGGACATTCACAGGGCTTGGGCTTGGCAATCGTCCTGCTTGCTGCAGTGAGCATACATTTTGGAAAGGGGGCTTAGGGATTATCATTAAAAAAAAACAACAAAACACGCCAGATCTGACTAAACGATAAGCAGGAAGTGATACAGTTTTTTCTAAGCATTAATAAACTTTTTAATCACCTGAGGATATGATTTTCTAAAATATATTTTCATTGATTTCAGAGAGGAGGGGAGAGGGAGAGAGAAACATCAATGATGAGAGATAATCATTGATCAGCTGCCTCCTGCATGTACCACACTGGGGATCGAGCCTGCAACCCGGGCCTGTGGCCTGACAGGGATTGGTGCTCAACCACTGAGCCATACCAGCTGGGCTTAAAAGGCATCTCTCCACAAAGGACAGCTCTCAGGTGCATTAGAGAAGCAGACCAGCCTGGGTTGTTCTCCCTGGGAACCCCTACTGGGCTCCATACAACTGGTGGGACCATCCTATCAACACATGATGGCGTAGGGTCTGGGGGACTGTCCTAGGCACTTCCCTTCCTTTGGGAGGTTGTTACCAGGGGAGTGTGGGCTGTGGACACTGGCTGCCATGCCCTGTGGTGCCACTGGTGTGGAGATGGCTGGAGCACCTGGACCCCACCAAGGTAGCTTTGGCGCTCTCCTTCCTGGTTGGGGGCACAAGGAGGGCTCACACACTTGTGACCAGTCAGGCACTGGGGCTTGCTGGAGTTTACGAAGTGACTGTGCTATTTATCTTCAGGGTCAAGGATCCAAGTATGTGTCCCCTTTCTTCTGTGTCCTTCCCACATGTATACACCCAGCTTCATTGGGAGCCCTTGGAGCGCAGGGCCGGCGCCCAGGTTCAAGACCCAGGGCTGGGACTCTGGGCTTGGAGGGTAGCAGGTGAGGGGCCCAGCCCGGCAGTCCTCTGAGACAGCTTCAGGGCTCTTGCCAGTCCTTTCCGCTTCTGCTGTTTAAAAAGCACTCAAGTCTGGCTGGTGTGGCTCAGTGGTTGAATGTTGACTTAGGAACCAGGTGGTCATGGTTCAATTCCCAGTCAGGGCACGTGCCCGGGTGGTGGGCTCGATCCCCAGTGTGGGGTGTACAGGAGGAAGCCAATCAATGATTCTCTCATCATTGATGCTTCTCTCTCTCCCTCTCCCTTCCTCTCTGAAATCAATAAATATTAAAAAAAAATCACCTTGCCTCTGTCATGCGCTTCTTCCCTGAAACCGGGCACAGGCACCCCTGACCCTCCGTGCCCCAGGCCTTGCCTGTGCTGTGTTGACGGCCCTGCCCTTGGCCAACACTGACTTGATTTGAATGGAAGAGAAGGATGTTTCACTTTGGGATTCCCTGACAGAAGCTTCCATTTCTTTGCATCTCCTCAGGGTCAGCTCCAGGGAGGCAGCTGCCCCATGCACTTGACCAGAGGCCTGCTCTCAGCTCTCATCTCTCAGAAGGCAGAACCCCTGCTCTGGACGGGAGGGCTTTCCAACTATGCCTGTTCCAGTGTGTCCCCTTCCCACACCCGGCCCAGGGCAGGTCAGAGCCAAGGGGATGGTTGGGTAAAGCTCCCTAAGGAATCAATGAGCATCCCCACATGCCGATGATAGCTACCATGCTGACCCAGGAGAGCATGGCCCAGAAAGCTCTGGGTGGCGGGGGCTAACACAGTCTCTATGGGGGATTTTGTGGGTCTAGGTTTCCTTTTCTTTCTTTTTTTAAAATATATTTTTATTGATTTCAGAGAGGAAGGGAGAGGGAGAGAGAGAGAAACATCAATGATGAGAGAGAATCATTGATCGGCTGCCTCCTGCACACCCCACACTGGGGATCGAGCCTGCAACCTGGGCACGTGCCCTGACTGGGAATCGAACCCAGGACCTCTTGGTCCATGGGACAACGTTCAATCTACTGAGCCACCACAGCCAGGCCAGTTTTTGTTCTTGATGGCACAATTGTTTCTGGTAACTTTTTAAAAATGTATATTTTTATTGATCTCAGAGAGGAAGCGAGGGGGCGAGAGAGATAGAAACACCAATGATGAGAGAGAATCACTGATTGGCTGCTTCCTGCACACCCCCTATTGGGGGTCGAACCTGCAACCAGGCCATGTGCCCTTGACCGGAATCAAACCTGGGACCCTTCAGTCCACAGGCCGATGCTCTATTCACTGAGTCAAACCAGACAAGGCCAGGTTTCCTTTTCATATGATGGAATACCAGGTGAGTGGCTTTCTCTCTATGGGACTCAGGTTCCCACTTTTTAAAAAAAAGTGTTTTATTGATTTCAGAGAGGAAGAGAGAGAGAGAGAGAGAAACATTAGTGATGAAAGAGAATCATTGATTGGCTGCCTCCTGCATGCCCCCTCTTGGAGATCGAACCCACAACCTGGGCATGTGCCCTGACTGGGAATTGAACTGAGACCTCCTGATTCATAGGTGACACTGCCTGGGAATATGTGACATGTCAGCCCTGTTTTATAAGGACACTTGGACACAGGATATAAATGTGGTTTTTTTGTTGTTGTTCATTTGGGCTTCCTATTACCGTAAAAAATAATGGGGATTAAAGATATATAATGTCCCCTCTCCTTTATTTTAGTGTCAAAAAGATCAGCAATGAGCCCAGCCGGTGTAGCTCAGTGGTTGAGCGTTGACCTATGAACCAGGAGTTCATGGTTCAATTCCCATTCAGGGTACATGCCCAGGGTTTCGCACTTCATCCCCAGTAGGGGGTGTGCAGGGGGCAGCTGATCAATGATTCTCTCTCATCATTGATGTTTCTCTCTCTCTCCCTTCCTGTCTGAAATCAATGAAAATAATTTAAATAAGGTCAGCAGTGAGAGATCGAGAAGATTGTCTAGGACTGGAAGCTCCTAGGAGCTTTTCAGTCCAGAGCACATCTTCACGACTGTAAAGTGATAAATGGCTGAGCCTTACTCGGCATGTCAACCTGGTAGAAGGAAGAGGGCAGCCAGGTCCTATGAGGGACTTGGCCCATCTCTTCCTTTCCAACTGTGATGGAGTGAATGGTGTCCCCCAGAAGAGGTGTCCACATCCTAACCCCTAGGGATGGGACCTTATTTGGAAATCGGGTCTTTGCAGGTGTTGCCAAGGTGATATGAGATCCTACAGGAGTGGGGGTAGGGGACTAGTGCAACATGACTGGTGTCCTTAGAAGAAGAGAGGAGACACATAGAGAGGGAGAAGGCCATGGAAAGGCACAGATGCACAGGGAGAAGGTCATGTGACAATGGAGGCAGAGACAAGTGATGTGGCCATGAGCCAAGGACTGTCGGCCACCAGCAGAAGCTGGGAGAGACAAGGCAGGTCTCAGCCCTCTAGCCTTGGAGTAAGCACGGTCCTGCCCACTCCTTGATTTCAGACTTCTGGCCTCCAGAATTATGACAGGATAAAGGTTTGTTGTTTGAGGGCCCCCAGTTTGTGGAACTTTGGTACAGGCCCCAGGAAACTCCTCCATGGGCCTCTCCCAGGCTACCAGGACACACCCTTGCTCCCAGGGCATCATTGGGTGGTGAAGACGGTGTCAGCTTTGTGGAGGGATGGGTGTTGTAGTGTTTCCTTGCCCCAAGCCATTTGGTTGAGTACCATTTCCCCCCAATGTCATATTTGATAGTGTGAATCCATGGAAAAGAATCCACAGACACAAATGGATGATTCTTTTAGGGGGAAGCAAAATATCTCTCCATCAGATGCTATCTTGCTATGGCATTTGGCTCAATTGAGACTTACTTAGCTTCATGGTTCAAGGTGGACTCACACATCAATGAAGAAGCAAGGGCTCTTTGTTATTTGCTGTTCTTAGCTATTCGTCTTTTTGAGAAATATAGATTCTGGTGGTTGAGAGGGAACGGAGAAGCCATTTTTCTCCTTTCCTGGCACCTTCCCTGGAAAATGCATCCTCCGGCACTGCCAAATCTAAAAGGGTGATGTGCGGAGTGGAGAAGTAGGGATATGAGGAAATGAAATGCGGGAGTCTTGATGCTGTCACCGCAGTGGTCATTTGCAAGTCCCAGATCAGAGCTGACTCTGTGACTCAGCTGGGGGTGGCCACAGACCACAGATGTCCCATCGCACAGGTGTCCAAAGACACCTGGTGAGTGCAGGAATGAATGGGGGAATGACCATGGAGAAGTGAATGAGTGAAATAATGGTTTTTCTTGCCATGTCTTTGGGTTAAAGAGGAAGTCTGATTGGAAGCCTCGGGTACTACTTGGGGGAGGGAGGTATAAAATAGTGCAGGTGCTGTGGTAAACAGTTTGGCAGTTCTTCAAAAAATTAAACATAGCGTTATTGTATAATCCAGAAATCCCAACTCTGAGTATCTGTCCAAACGGGTTGAAAGCAGGAACTCAAACACATACAGCGGGGCCTTGACTTACGAGTGTCCCGACTAACGAGTTTTTCGAG